GGGTGTGGGGGGGGGGGTTAAGTGGGTGTGCAACCTTGTTATAATTCGATTTTTTTTTTCCTTTGACATCCACATTGTTCTGCTTTGTTTTAAAATTTAAAAAAGTAAAACTACTATTATTTGACAAAATTCTGTCTTTTGTTTCGGTGATTATTAAAACTGGACAAACGACTTTTCAGGGTGGAAAGTGTCAGTGCTGGGTCAGAGAGTGCGCGGTCGTACATCGGTATTCTGATACGCTGTGACGGCGATGAATTGCGTCTCCGTGAAGGTGAAAGTCTGGACTCGTCCTGGTTGGCTGGTGTCCTCTGTCCCATCCTCGTTTACTTCCACCACATGGAGCCTGGGCTGGTACTTGTGGAGAGACTGGAGAACCACCATCTGGAGATTCAAATAAAGACGCACTTCAGATACTCATTTTCAAACTTTGGATAGATGATTGAAACATGATACTAAACCGATTAAACAGATTTTTATCATCACATTTACTATTATAACACTCAAAACACTGTTGTGCTGTAATTGACAGTCAGTTACATAAAAAAATCTTCAAATGAAAAATAAAACTTAGTTTATGCAATAAAGAAATTATGAAAGGGAGAAAATCTAGATTTGCTATTGCTTGTTTTCAGCTGGTATTATATAAATATTTCTTTTAATCTGTCATTGAAATACTGGATTTGGTGCTGCTTTACCTGTCCCGTGTTGTTAGAGGCACCTTTGTTGTTTGTAAGCTTTAGCTTTCCAAATGATATTTCTTGACGCATCCAGTGCGCGCCGGTGTTTGGTGAGTCTGGGTGCATGTAAACCCTATTTCCTAAACAAAAAGATGAAATAATATATCTGACTGTTGATAGTTTAAAAACAGTTTAAAGAGCATTTTAAATCAAATTTTTGAACCATTTACTGGTCAAAAACGATCAAAAATAGTTTTTAGTATAATAATATGCTATACATTTTGAAATATAATAATATGCAATAAATGTAAACATCCAAAAAATATTATACCTATTACATTTGTGTCTGCTTTTCCACATGGCACCCACTTTCCTCCTTGAAATCGCCAGTGATTTGGATCAGCAAGTATTACATCCACAAATATATTGTAGTGAGCAGTTGGGTCAAGGCCAGAAATGTTGAAGCTTAAAAATGGGAACATTCGTCTGTGGAAAAGGAATTCAGATTTAGAAGAAGCTTCTAAACGGCACAAAAATGTGATTCATTTTTTTTATCACATTGTCTTGGTGTCTTGTCGAGTCCGTTATCCTTTTTATTTGGGGAAAACAGCGATTTTATGTTAATACACTTCAATTTTGCACTTTACCTTAACAAGGAATTGGCCAAAAATCGACTAATTTTGCAGGTGTATGACGGGTAGGTCTGTGTGCGCACACTCACCGCCCTTGTTTTGTGATGATCATCTCTGTTTGGTGTCTGTGAAACTTCAACCACAGGGCCCTGTTGCACAGATACACCTGCGCTTTCCCCGGAACCAGTCCTGCTTGCGCCGAAGAGAACTGGTAAAAAGCCCCTCCTTGGTAAGTGTGTCCATACTGTTGCGCGTAAGGGTAGCCCGCTGCCGGGTAGCCTTGAGGAGACGTGTTGGTTAGAAGGCTGTTGTAAGCTCCATTAGTTATGACCGGGTGATGTGCCATATAACGGCTGGGACTTCCAATAGAAAAAGCCGGGTGCGCTGGTCCATGCTGGCTCGGGTAAGGAAACATGGCACTGGGAGCTGCTGACACTGACTGTGACTGAGTAGATGGAGAAAAGATGTACCTTTCTCCTGCAGATCCATCGAAATTATGACGAATGTCAGAGACTCCGTGCAGATCAGGAGAGAGTTTGCCCCTCTGGACGTCCCCTGATGCGTCCTTGGAGTCGGGAAAATTGTCTGCCTCTGACTGATTCGTCATCTCCCTAGAGTTTTTTTTCAAAGGTGAACTTCTCTCCAGGTTGTCACTTGCAGATATAATAGGATGGTCCTGCAACGAAAGCTCTGATCCATCGGAGCTCGAAAAGCCACTGCCCACATTCATAAATTTCTTGGAGAGATCACTCGCTGGCGAGATGCAGTTCTCGACTTGCATAGCTCAATAGAAAGCCACGATTAGCTCAACCTATATCACTAGCTTATGCACACGCCTTTCCTAATCTAACACTATGAAAACGCTTTACTTTGACTTGAGATATCGAAGGCTGCAAATTAGCCAACTGACACCATCCTGCAATCAGGAAGGATTTTCTTTCCATCACTCTCCCTGCTTTGCTAATGAAACAAGTATCGCCATTGGTTAACTCGAGGCTGTAATTTAATTAGACAGTTCTTAATTAGGACAATATGAGGAGCGCTGTGAGCAAAGTGATTTGTTTGTAGTGTGACATGGGCCTATATTTGATTAAAACATATGGACTTCGACAGTTTCTTCTAATAACATAACACAAAAATTCAAAAGTATAATAGTAGTTGTTTTCTACTGTCAGTCGTAACATCAGATATGATATTTACCTGTTTATCCGCGTTATTTACCTATTTATGCGCTATGAGTGCCAAAGGATGTCAGCGGAAGAAACCCAGATATATTATTAACACACCAAAAATGACAGTCCATGACAGGCAGTGCGTCTGATGCCTTAAAATGTTTGTGATATAGCGTGAAATCATGGCGCCCCACAGAAGATGTGTTTATGAGTCCTAGTGCTGCTAAATATTTGATGCACTAAACTTATGAAGCAGTGCACCGATAACAGGGGCAAACACAGCTCGGTGCAAAAAGAAAAGCTTTATGTGTGGGACTGTTCATTCTTAAATGACTTTAATACAATTCAGCTCAACTCGTTTTTGTCTTTTGGCGAATTGGGTCCCATTGAAAAGTCATATTAAATCGAACTCGTTATGCATGATGTGATGTTTTTAATAAAACTAAAAGCATTTAAAAAAAATTTCCATCATTTAATTACACTTCACCAACTGAAGTTCTCCCTACAGTAAAATGAAACTTTATATCAGAATGATGTTGATTCAGAAGAAGAAATCAAACAGAACAAGTACACCTTATAGTGATTTACCCCCAGTCCAGTGACAACAGTCTATAAGCAGCTTCCTGTTTATCTTACTAAAAGTGTCATCGCCAAGGTAACACGGACTGCGCAGTCATACGTTTCCAATACACCCGAAGCATAATATAACCCAATGTAACATTTATGGGGCTTATTATGTCATAGAGTTGTTGATTTGACATTGTGGTGTTTTATTAAACTGTAGTTTATGGACAACTATTCTTTCAAGGTGTTTATCTGTCCATCCCATGGAAATAAACAAAATATTAGAAATACCTCCTAATATAAGACAGTCTGCATCACTGACTACAACCTTCCTTTCCATATCACCGAATAACTTTTGGTTTGGTGTCATTAACCAGACGAGGTTAAGAGAAGACCGATCAAAGGCTGTTTCACTGGTGAGTACATCCACAAGTTTGTTATCGCTAATGAACAGCCACGAATCTCTGAAGCTAACAAGAAGGGTCATTACCGTCAGGCTACAGGGTCCAGCAATCTATTCTTGTGAAATATGCAAGCACGGGCTTGTCTGTGCCCAAGAAAAAGAGGCCACTCTCTGCTCTCCTCATTACAGGATTATGGTTTACTTCCATCACTGATCTTTAATAAGTAAAACCAGCTTGCTTTTTTCTCCCCCTCCTGAACAAACCAATTGTTGAGTCACTCATGCAGCAACGCAGTGTTTCCCCAGGTGCGTTGGTGCCTGTTTATCAGACTAAGTCCCCCCCCTTCCTTTCTATGGGCTCGGTTAGTGGACATAACCAAAGAGGTGGGGGCTGATTTGTTATGCCAGTGGCCAACCTTGCTCCTTGGGGAGATAGAGTAGTGCAGGTTAGGGTTTCTGCCTCCTGCCTTGCACAAACCCTTCATTGACCAGCTGAGCCTAATGTGCTAGCTCCCTATCAACAGTAATGTTCATTCTACTCCCAAATACTTCCACTTTTTTTATTATTTAAATGCTAAGAATTCAAACCAGATGCAACAACAAACATTTCTGAAAGCTCTCTAATAGAAACATCCTTCAATAATTGGTAAAAAGACAACAATATGATTATAAAAAACTTTTTTTTTTTTAAACAAAACCAGTTCTGGTTCACAGTGTTAAGATGAGCATAAAACAACATGCCTTTCATCTAGTGCTGTATCACCATTTTTTTTATTGTAGCAGAGGAATCTGCTTGCCACCTGGGTCTAATCTAATCAATGTGAATGACAAGGAGAGAAAAAGCCTGAAAGCGAGCACCAGCTTAGGGACTTTACCTAATGCCCAGTACTGTCACTTCAATGATATGATCACAGCACACAAAATGACAACAAAATTATAGCCAGCAAGGATATGGGGACAGCGTGTGCTACTCCAGTCAGGTGAAATTGCTTTTTCTGACTATGAAATGGCTCATCTCTTGTCGGATGGGTAAACATTTCCTTGTCAGGCCAGTAATAAGGAATGAGGCGCACTGCGCTGAACTAAGAGGACAGAGCCAAGGTTATTTGGGATTCATGACAGGTAGTGGCTTATATTACAGCAACACTAAAAATTTCATGGGAATGCATTTAAGATGGCCTTTAAGTTATTTATATGTTGTTTGCCAGATGTCACATTGCAATGTCCATCAGTAAATCAAAGTGAAGTATTTCTTCCTTTCTTCCTGGCTCTTTGGTTTGATTTGATTTAAAAAAAAAAAAAAAGGCAAAACCTGTATTTACCTTAAGTCTTTAATTAACAAGCATGACTAATCTGATCAAGTGTGGTGATGCTTTGTGCAATGCTAACATAGCTGTTGCCCCCTGTGGTTTCCTGCCATCACTGATCTGCTCCGTCAGAGGGAATCACTGTGGTCTCTGACAAAAAAGGCAGCAGGAGGCCTGAAAAGGGGCGGAGTGGACAGTTGTGGCTTTTAAACCCTTATTAGCAGCCCTCCCCGGACACACCAAGACACGTGTCATTCGCAGAAGTGCACTCCTACACCTGCTCATTATTAATGGCCTTAAAGGTCGCCCATAGCCAGACCAGACCCAGCCGTGATTCTTTACCGCACAGCTCACAGCAAATTAACCTCAGGACAGGTGATTATGATGCTCAGTGGTGACATGACTCCTGTGCTAATACCATACCTGAGTCTGTAGGGACTGTTCATCCAAAATAAATATTTATACATGCCCTTTTTTATTGTACTCTTGAGCAGACAATAAAAGAAACTGGTGATTCTTACTTATTAAAATTAGGTTTTGACCCCGGTTCAATTGAACTCTCTGCACCTACCTATTTAAATACATCCAACCAATTACTTTCTTATTAATTGAAGTAATTTACATGAGTTTTCCATGAAATTTAACATTTATGACCATTTGTAGAAATATAAACAACAGAAAAACACAAAGGTTTTTGTAAGTGGTATTATTTAAATTCACTTTTTTTTGATACCATTTGTTTTGTGGTGCATTTTGTACACTTTTAAAACAATTTGCATCTTCCCACAGGTAACTCAAAGCCATCATATTTTTAATTATTCAACAAGCAGTTTGTTGCAAGGACATAAACACAGTCCAGTGTGACAGATTATGTCACTGCATAAACAATACAGTTGTTAACCATTGTTATTTATCTCTTTAAATTGGGCAGGGGAAAAATCCCCTATTTATGTTATTATTTTTAGTTTTATTATTATAGCTATTTTTACTTTTCATCTTTATCTGGCTGTAAGTTTTTTTCTACATCATCAGCATGGTAATTAATACACTTCTATGCAATTAATAGCACCATTTTATGGGAGAATCAGCCCTAAGCTATTATCCACGCTGCTCAGCCGAGCTCTCCTCTTTACAAAAACTAATATCACATGAACATGGTTGATGGTATGTAAAATTCATGCATAATTATAAATGTGTGAATTTTGTCTCATACCAATTCTGTAGCAAACTAACACTTGTAAAATGTTGTACTCCTCTGGGTTCTACAGTCCCTCAGAGTAATGCCTACAACTGCTTCATGCTCTCTGACGTGTATTATTCGGTTTAACAAATGGCGAGGATATAATGTCAGGAATCACAGAGTTAGCGGAAGAGCTAATGTACCTAGGAAAACTTCTTTTATCACCTGCTACTGACCTGTTATCAACTGTTTGGTTTGTTGCTAGTCTCTTTAAATTTTAATGAGTCTGTGTGACCCAGGGAGTGCAGTTGGGGTTTGTGACCATTTTGTTATTTCTGCTGCCATGCACTGTCAGACATCTGCAAGTGAAGAACACGGCCACTGTCCCCAGTAAGCCCACGGCATAAAAAATTCAGACTAACTCCACTTTTTAAGCCATTTTTGATGAAAAGCACACTGAAATGAAACTGACTTATGCCAATTGAATATCACCGAATCACTGTGATGGTGAAGTTGATGTTTGTAACTTTGGAATTATTCATATAACATCAGTTCCATTTTAAGAGTAGCCATGCCATGAAGTGTGCACTTACTCCTTTGAGAACCCTCTGAGGATTTCCTGAGCACTAAACAATCTAAACATGAACAATAGAAAACAAAAGGCTCCAATCCAGTAACCTAAGCTTTGCCTTTTTTTTTTTTTTTTGATGTGAGCCTACATTGCTTAGACAGGATGAAAATAAGTACTAATTACCCAGTCACAGCTGTGTCTGCCAGCATATTGTTTAATCCATAACTAGGTTGACATGATGATGAATATTTAATCTAAAAACAACAACTCAAAACGTGTTATCTGATTAATCAACATCCAAGATCTGGTTCCTAAATATCTTTAATTATAACCACAATAAATTGGTGATTGACCTGCAAAGTAATCCTTATATAATAAAGCACAAATGCTGCACAGATCCCTTAAAAGCAAACTCTCTGTTTGAGAGAATAGGAGCAAACAGGCGACTGTCGTGTTACAAGAATAATCTTCATTAAAATCACAGGCAACAACACCAGGCCAACACACAGCTCATTGGGAATGCAGTGTGAAAAGAGAGGCCCACAGATTATCACTCTACGTAACTCATGTTTAATTTATCCAGGAGCAATATTGTCAAGAGCCCTACCATTCCAAAGAACTAGACGCTGATAAAAGCTGGAAATAAGACTTAGGGAAACCCAAAAATAACACAGGCTTTGAGTAAAATGTCGCAAAATGCAGAGAACGCACATGAGAGGGAAAGCATCGGCGACATCTTCGATATGTTTAGCACAACTTCACAATGGTGTAATATGACTGCGTTAGGATTGTTAATATTTCAAAAGGTGACTCCTAAATGGAGTTGACGATA